AAACACTGCCATAATTAAAAATAGACGAATTACAAGGAAGCAGACGATTCTCCGACAAAATTAGACGATTCTCTAACAAGGGTCGTATTCAGTGAGATTAGCTAGTGGATTCAATTCTAGATTCCTTATATCTTTAATTGAATCCTCCATCTTTTCTTTCTTGAATCCTCATATCTCTCCACAATCACAATATTCATCACTCCTAATTGTCATGCACACAACATAAGAACCGATTCTAATTATTTTTAACAAACACCTTCCTCATGAGATCCATAACTTTTTATACTATAACTTGATTGGTTGTGCACTTATAACTTTTGGTACATATTTATACCCCGTCAAGTTTTTGACGCTGTTGCTGGGGAACAGTGTTTAATTTGTATTTTAATTAATTTGGTTCTTTAACTTGTGTGTTTTCTTGTGAAGGAACCACTTGGAGTTGAAGATTAAGGATTGAAGATCCAGGACTTGAAGAATTGCTCGAGGTTTGATTCATATTTAGGATTTGCTTGAGGTAACTCTTCTTTCTAGAATTTTTAATTCCACCTTTTAGTTACTTCTTCACAATTAGAGACAATTATGACTTAAAAAAGATTTTATTTTTATCGACTATAATAAAATCCACCCTCCACTTAGATATTTATTAACAAGATAATAAATTCAAACAATATTCCCCATTCTCACAATTATTTGATTGTTAACCCTAATTAAAAAAAGATTTTTTTTTACCATCCTTTTTAGTCGCTTTTAATTCCTAGGGTTGCATTGCATATAATAGTAGGAAATCACCCAAGTGATTTGAGCATCTTGATTTGGCACACACTTAAAAATATTCTTAAGGGTAAAACCCCTTAATCAAGATAAGGTGAGGGATTTCGTCATCCTTTTCTTAGCCCACAAATCACTAATTTTCCACTTCACAAACTCAAGCCTCCTAAAACTTATTAGACGTTGACCCCTAAGGACTCAAGCTCAATAAGGAATAAGAAATCCCTATGTGAAATGGTTCAAGTCTTCTGGATTAGTTGGTGTCTAAGGCAAGGTTTAGGGGTTGCGTAAAGAGCTCTGTAAAGAGTAAGGTACTTAATTGATCTCTGATCACCATCTAATACTATCCTTACCTGGCTAACTCATCGAGTAAAACTTTAATCTTTTCACCTAAGGAATTTTTGGTTAGGATCTGGTCTAGCTGAGTTAGGCTTAACCCTAAAGTTTAGAATGATTAAAAAGTGATTGTTTTTTATTTATTTTAATTAGATTTTTCCTTTATCACCTTTTTCTTATCATTAAAAAAACTAACTTTTATTTTTCTTAAAAAAATAAAAAATGTATAAAAAGAATTGTTTTGGTGTATGCGAGCGTGGATTAGGGATAATACACATCGATTAATTCGCTTTGAACCAATCATAGAAATAGCGTATCTTAATCCACTCATTCTTCAAGATATGTGCTATCCCACTAGGAATGTAATCCCGTCTTGTATTAGGCTCCCTGAGGAAAATGGAACTAACTTTGAGCTTTAACCATATAATATAAACATGCTTCCTAAATTTCTAGGGAATAAAACTGAAGATGCTTATATTTTTATCTCCGAATTTGAGGAAGTATGTATTATGATTAAAATGAGAGAATTAATTGAAGATGTGATCAAACTAAGATTTATTCCATTTGCTCTCAAGGACAAGACAAAAAAATGGTTGTATATCTTACCCACAAATTCCATCTCAACTTGGGATAAATTTATCATTGTTTTTCTTAAGAAATTTTTTTGGATCCATAAAACGGTTAAGCTAATAAATAGCATCGTGAATTTTAAAAAACAATTGCCTCGGGAGAACCTTTCTGGAAGTATTTTGATCGATTCAAATACCTTCTTATCCAATGTCCTCATCACGGTCTCAAGAAGTGGAGATTATGCCAAATCATTTATGAAGGATTAGATTATTCTTCACAAAGTTCCTTAGAGTTGATGTGCCAAGGGGATTTCATGAGAAAAAATGTTGATGAAGTTTGGGAGTTTTTAGAGAGTCTATCCGAGAAAACCATGCAATAGGAACATTGTGATGACCGAGTTTCATCCGTTCCCCAACCTAAGTCCAGTTGTATTTCCTTAGAGTCGAACATTATATCTGAAGCTAAGATGGATACAATCATGCATAGGTTAGAAGACTTAGAAATTAAGGAATGAGCACCAGCTCAAATCAATCAAGTTTCTAACACAGGTTATTATAACTGTCTTTCACCATCCTATGTTTCAGAAGAATGCCCTCTCTTAGGAAATAATCAGCCACTAGGACAGGTTAATGCTATATTCTAGCATCCTGTGAATGATCCATTTTCTCCAGCCTACAATCCGGGTTAGAGAAATCACTCCAATTTTGCATGGAATCAAGGAAACCTCCCGGGAAACCAAAATTTTATTCCCACTTTAAACCAACCATTTTCTAGGGGAAACACAGTTCCTTTTAGTTTTCCCCTAAAATTT